TAATTTGTTTTCTCGTTACTTCATTTTTCCCAAAAAATTTTCAAGATTTCCGTCAACCCCTATTCGAAAAAGCAGCTGTTTTTTGAATAATCAAAAAATGTTTTTCGTTTTTTCTCAGTTTCCGCTTTCTCAAAAGCGCATCCCAAATTTTTCCTTCCTGGTTCGTTCAATGTATTAATATTTTTTTTTGTTTNTTTTTAGCTACTCTACAATTATCTTGCATACACAAGCGTTGGTTCTCTACAAAACCATTCATATGTTCTTGTGTACAGCCAGAAAATGAAGCAAGTATATACGCAAAATTCTATACATGTAAACTCGAATATAGTTGTAATTTACAACGTGTTCTCGCGTATGCTATACCATAACGATTCATTTATGCACACGCATTCTATAAGTTTTCGCATTTGTCTGGGTTATTTCCTGGAGACTTTTGTATAATTTAAAGTTGGATTATCACACATAAATAAATATTTTTTGAGTCAGATTGTGTACGAAACTGTTAAGCAATTGGTTTTAAATACAACTTTGATAACTCTCGTCTTAATGTTTTCAATATTTTTTAAAAATTGGAAGAGCTGACAATTACATAGGTAAGTTCCAGGGAACAATTGGAAATTTTCGTATATACGATATTAAAATTAATGGAAGCTAGCTTCTTCCAATATTGTTTTCTGTTCAAAACTTATCTCTGATTTCTAGCAAGACCTGAAGTTTGAAAATGAAACAAATCAATCTGCTACAAAACTCAGTTTGTGATATACAGTTCAAACAATTTGAGATATTCTAATGAGATTCAAAGACAATCTGAGAAGGTTTACTTATGAGAGAATCACTCGCGATAGTACCTCACGTTGGATATGACATCTCAGTCATTGTGTAGGATCTGTTGAGACTAGAAGAAACCGAGAAGGATTCTTCTCTATGTGCTGCTTGCTTTGACTGGGGTGTGGGTGTGGGCGTGAGTGTGGATAAGGAGATTATTGACACCCACACCCACACCCTCAAGATAAAAATACTTAGAACACAGAGTACATCTACTCAACCGATAATATAAATAAAATCAATAATTTTTGATTAAGCTAGCATATTGTTCGAATACTTATTTTCTTGTTAATTTGTAAAGTCTTTCTCACAAAAATAAATATTTTAAGTCCATATTGTAAGTGGAGCTACGCTTAAAAGGAAAAAGAAATGAAATAGAAAATAATTCATAGGCTGATCGATCTGATCAGAAAATTATTAGAAATGTCACATACTCATGTTTTTCATGATAAAACATGCATGTATTAGTCATTGACTAGAAGAGAAACATTCTTTTCTCTCTCTCTCGCGTAAATAATTTTCTTCATCAAGAAAATAAATTAGATATTCGATAACAAATCCTTGAATATCTTTCAATGTTTGTTGAGCCTCAAAAACAAAATAAAAATATTATTCAAAATATCTACAAAATATATACATTCGCAAATATACTTTCATTGTAGCAAAAACTTCTTCATAAATCAATGTATTTTGTTTTACTACATCTTGAAAATAAGAATAAAATTCATCTGATACTCGATCAGTTACTATACTGTGTTATTTGGATTATCGAATTGAATACCTAATAGTATCATAAAAGGTCACATAGTTTTCTATGAAAATCATTGTCATATTAGATATTAAACATACTCAAAGATCTTTTTATGCCAGCTAGGAAAAAATTTTTCTACAAGAACTGACTCTTCATTAAACCGATCATCTTCTTCTTCCAGATCGTTTATTACAATACAAAATTCACTATTACGATTATCAACTAATGACCGATTGTTTATATTTACACTACCACATATAGCCATATGATCATCAATGATCATTAATTTTCAATGAACATATATTATTTCGGTTACTTAAAGCAATTTAATCTTTTGATGGAATTCTTAAATATAAAAAACAAACTTGCATAACATATATATATATATTTGAATTCGAGGTTCATTTTCATTGTACTTGAAATTGATTCAAAGATATTTATTGCGACTGAAAACCTGATTGTATTTGAAAAAACTGTTTCATTATGCATTAGTTTATGTTTTCTAGATTTTACTATATTTGGGTTTTCCTGATTAAAAACAATAAAAAAATAAAATTCTATTTCAAATAATTTAAATGTATAGAAATATGCTGGACATAGTTTTAAATTAAGGCATATCAACAAGGCCGAAAATTGATGGGTTTCTTTATCATCAAATAGCCGAGGTTTAGTATCGATGATATATTTAAAAAACAACTGATCTTTATTCTTAAAATATTGATTTACTTGCATTTTCAGGTCGTCTAAATAATCAAAATCAGATAAAAGAGGAAGAACAATATAAACACGAATTGTTTTTAGCATTTCTAATCAACAAAAGAAACTGTTTAAAATGTTATAGAATTAAAAAAAATAGTTCATACTTATCTGCTCGTTCTATACGTCGAAAAAGAACATCAGCTAATTGGTTTTGAACTACTCGATCTTGAGCCATAGTAATAAATAAGTGATTCTAAATACGAAATAACAATTAAAAATTGTTTTTGTTTTTATATTATTTTATTTCAATGTATATAAAATATTTAGCAACATCAATCATTTCTATATAAGAATTATGAATCGATGACTTTTCTAATTTCGTTCCCGCTGACCATGGTCCAACTGAGAATGGTTCACTTTTAAGAAAATCACTCCTGTTTTCAACATCATCATAAGATTTAGGTAACAGAAATAGATAAAATTCATTTTTCAGATATGTTTCATACTCAAGAGAAAAAATTCATAACCAAAAATTTGAAAAGTATTTTCTCGATTTTCTGATAAATTCTATTTTCAATGAATAAATTCATAATCGAACAATCAATTAGTTTCTTTACGAAAGTGATTGATTACTGTCTGAATTGATTATGAGGTCAAACAGTTGTCAAAAAAAGATAACAAGAGTGTGAGTGCATGTTTATGCCAGTTTTTGATGCTAATTTCATTTGTAGCCTTATCGACATTTCATCCTAAATCACCGTTAGTACATTCAAGAAAATTTAGAGATTATACTCAGATAGTTCCGAACTTGTCAAGCTTGGTCGAAGGATTAAATGAAATTCTCAAGTTGCTAAATATGTTACTTTCAGTGTCACGATATGGATTTCGATCAAGAACAATAGAACTTGAGTATGAATTAGACAAACTATAATCGTCTTCTGTATACCCATACCCATATTCGAAAAAATGTCACAAATTTTTGGCTATGCGATGATATATTCGGAAGGTGTTGTTCTGCGACGAACTCTTCATCTATTGATATCTGTTTTGTGAAACACCATCTGAACATACTCTTGAAGTACATACGGTAGGAGATCCTTTTCATAACAGACCATTCGATACAAGATCACTGATTATATATCAGGGTATATCGAAGAAAATAATATGTAAATGATTGATAACAACATTTACATGGTGTTTCACGTTTCAATTCTTCAGAGATTGATCTAACAGCTTTTCAATCAAACTATAGATTTAACTACGTAATTATATTTGATTCGATAGTCTTCGGTTATGAATACATGTTGAGGAAATGAAGGTAAATTGTTTTTCTTAGCTAATTTTATGAATATTCCATCGTTGAATAAAATGTCGTGTAACATCTCGAGCAGTTTGACCAAATAGAATTAATGTTTTATCATGCCATGACATACGTAGTAATTACTAATGTTCGTATAACACTATCTACAGCATAATTTACATTAGTAGAATTGACATAAATGAACAAAACACATGAAAACAAAGAAATGAAGACCTTCTGTGAAATTCTTTTGATATACATTTGAATAATTTTTTCTAATAAAATATCGATGTTTTCTATCAGCTGCAGATGTTGAAGTAGTATCTCATTGTTATTCTTTAAGAATTTTTTCATCGTTAGAGTTTTGATCATCTTTTCTCACGGTCTAAAGAAAACAAAGATTTAGATTTTGTTTTAAAAAGTCTTTCTATAATATGTTGAACTAACTTTCAACTAGTTGAAAAAATTGCATAGAATTCAAAGTAAAAAAATATTATTTACATTGAACAACATAGACTTTTTTTTCTTCTGCTATTCATCCTTATTCTCGATCAAATAGTTCGACAGTTTTGATTTTCCTCATTCTAGACGATAATTGAAAAATCCATTAATTGAAATAGAATAAATTTCAATCATTTATNAAAAAAAAAGATGAAAACATCGATAAAAGCGCTTAGAATACCAAAACAATATAGAAAACAGAATACAAGATACAAAATGAACGATTGCACAAAGAGCATCTACTCAACCGGCAATATAAATAAAATAAATTATTTTTGATTAAGCTAACATTTTGTTCTAATTAATACGTATTTTCTTGTCAATTTGTAGTCTTCCTAACAAAAATAAATATTTTAAGTCCATATTGTAAGTGGAGCTATGTCTAAAACAAGTGAAATAACAAACAGTTCATAGACTGGTTGACCTGATCAGAAAATTATTGAAAATGTCACATGCTTTTTTTTCTGATGATAAAATGCGAATGTATTAGTCATTGATTAGAAGAACTCTCTGAATATACAAAAGAAGCTATGATAGTCATGTGATGATAATTGTTCAAGTTGTCATCGATAATGAAACGAAAAATTCTTACCTTGATGAGTTGTCATATTAGGCAAATAATTTTCTTTGTCAAGAAAATAAATTGGATATTCGACAACAAATTCTTGAATACCTTTCAATTTTTGTTGAGCCTCAAAAAACAAAATAAAAAGATTATTCAAAATATCTACAAAATATATACATTCGCAAATATACTTTCATTATAGCAAAAACTTCTTCATAAATCAATGCATTTTGTTTTACTACATCTTGTAAATAAGAATAAAATTCATTTGATACTCAATCAGTTACATCAATGTTATTTGGATTGTCGAATTGAATACCTAACAGTATCCTGAAAAGTCAAACACTTTTCTATGAAAATCATGGTAATTTTACATATGAAACATATTCAAAGATCTTTTTACACCAGCTAGAACAAAATTTTCCTACAAGAACTGCCTCTTCATGAAACCAATCATCTTCTTCTTCCAGATCATTTATTACAATACAAAATTCACTATCACGATTACCAACTAATGAACGATCATCAATGATCATTAATTTTGAATGAACATGTATTTTTTCAGTTATCTAAAACAACACAACGAATATGTGAATTGTATCAATGATAAAATATTTTACTTACTAGACGGCCCATTCGAATATCATGATTATGCACACGAAAAAAAATTAATATAATCTTTTGGTGGAATTTCTAAATATTAAAAACAAAGTTACATGACATAGATATATATATATTTTTATTTGAAATATATATCGATTTTCAATGTACTCGAAATCGATTTAAAGATGTCTAGTGCGAGTGAAAAGCTGATTGTATTCGAAAAAACTGTTTCACCATGCATTAGTTTATGTTTTCTAGATTCTACTATATTCGGGTTTTTCTGACTGGAAACAACAAGAGAATAAAATTCTATTTCAAATAAATAGCATATATAGATATATGCTGGACTTAGCAATTGAGCGCATAATGAAACAGAGTACATTTTGCACAGCATTCGTGTTATCAAAATCAGGTAAAAGAGAAAGAACAATATAAACACGAATTTTTTTAGCATTTCTAATCAACAAAAGAAACTGTTTAAAATGTTATATAATTAATTTTAAAAAAAAAGTTCATACTTATGTGCTCGTTCTATACGTCGAAAAAGAACATCAACTAATTGGTTTTGAACTACTGAATCTTGAGCAATAGTAATAAATAAGTGATTCTAAATACAGAATAACAATCAAAAATTGTTTTTGTTTTTATATTACTCTACTTCAATGTATATAAAATGTTTAGCAATATCAATCATTTGTATATAAGCACTATGAACCGATAATTCCTCTAATTTCGCTCCCGCTGATCATGGTCCAACTGAGCGAGCACATTAAATGCAAAATCCAAGTGAAAATAGTTTTTAAAATGAATATTAATCTAAAATAATAACTTACTTAAACACTTACGCGAAATAGCTCACTTTTAAGAAAATCCCTCCAATTTTCAACAGCTAAGTCTTCAATATCATCATAAGATTTAGATAACAAAAATGGATAAAAATCATTTTTCAGATATGTTTCACACTTAAGAAAGAAACTTCACAATTAAAATTTGAAAAGTATTTTCTCGCTTTTCTGATAAATTCTATTTTCAACGAATAAATTCATAACCGAACAATCAATTAGTTTCTTACGAAAGCGATTGATTACTGTCTGAATTGGTTATGAGGTCAAATACTTGTCGAAAGATAACAAGAGTGTGAGTGGGTGTTTATGCCAGTTTTTGATGCTGATTTCATTTGTAGCCTCATCGACATTCGATCCTAAGCCACCGTTAGCACAGTCAAGAAAATTGAGAGATTATATTCAGATGTGTTATGAGGTCGTCAAGCTTGGTCGAAGAATTAAGCGAAAATTTTCAAGAACCGTTGAACAAAACAACGAGTGAAACACGACAATTTTGCTAGGAAAACAAGGAAAATTTTCAAGATTTGGAGCGGTCAGTAGACCCCGCCTTGAGACACTCGTAACTGTATTACTGCTAGAAGTCTTTCGGGTAAAAATTCAGACAGAGAAAATCGATGCTAGGACGAATCATCGTATAAAAGAAACAAGTTGCAGTCAGTTTTCTTGTTAAGAAAGAAGCACTAGTCAATGTATCATATTAGAAAATCTACTCTCATGTCTTCAATGATGTGATCTATATCAAATTATTTAAACACATGAGAGTATGTCTGTCGCTGCATGTGTTATTGTGAGTGTCACGATATGGATTTGGGTCGAGAACAATAGAATTTAGTTATGAATTAGGCAAACTGTAACCATCTTCCGTGTACTCATACCCTCATATCCGAAAAAAAGTTACAACTTTTTGGCCATGCGATGATATGTTCGGAAGGCGTTGTTCTGCGACGAACTCTTAGGTCGTCATGAAATCTTCATCTATTGGTATCTGTTTTGTGAAACATCAGCTGAATCTAGTTTTGAAGTACATAAGGTAGAGATTCTGACATGATCCTTTTCCTAACAGATCACTCGATACAAGATCAGCGATTACATATCACAGTATATCGAAGAAAACAATATGCGAACGATTGGTAACAATAGCTACATTGGATTTCAGATTTTAATCCTGCAGAGATTGGTCTAACAGCTTTGCAATCAAACTATAGATTTAACTAATTATATTTGATTCGATAGTCTTCAGTTATGAATACATGTGACGAAATGCAGCTAACTTGTTTTTCTTAGCTAACTTTATGAATATTCTATCGTTGAATAAAATATCGTGCAACATCTCGAGTAGTTTGACCAAATACAGCTAATGCTTCATCGTGCCATAGCATACGTGGTACTAATGTTCGTATAACACTATCTACAGCATAATTTACATTAGTAGAATTGACATAAATGAACAAAACACATGAAAAAAAGATGTAAAGACTAATTAATTACCTGTCTTGTAGTCTTGAACTTCTGTAATATCCTTTTGATATATATTTGAATAATCTTTTCCAATAAAATATCGATGTTTTCTATCAGTTTCAGATGTTGAAGTAGTATCTGATTGTTGTTCTTTAAGAATTTTTTCATCGTTAGAGTTTTCATCATCTTTCTCCCCTGTTTAAATGAAGCAAAGACTTATGTTTTGTTTTAAATTACTTTTTAAAAAGTATTTCTATAATATGTTGAGCTAAATTTCGACTAGTTCAAAAAATAGCACAGAATTGAAAGTAAAAAATATTATTTACAATGAGCAAAATAGACTTTTTTCTTCTGCTATTTATAACTTTTCTCGATGAGATAGTTTGACAGTTTTGACTCTGTTCACGCTAGACGATAATTGAAAAACTCTTTATTTCAAATAGAATAAATTTCGATCATTTATGGAATATGAAAAAAAAAGAGAAGCCACGCTCTATATAAATGAAAACATAAGAAAACAAAACTAGACCTATATGAAAACTTTTNGATAAAGTCATTGTTTGCAATGCGAATTGAGAACTCGCATATAACAATTTTTCTCATGATCCTTGCCTGTGTAGCTCCATCGACAATATCACCTTCCTCGATATCGACAAAAATAGTAAAGTGAGTGAAATTACTCATTGGAAACAAGATAGGTTCGAACCCTGCTGTAGTGACACCATGCATTATGAGTAATAGTCGTTGCAAATAGTGCGGTGATTGAAGCAATGGACTCCCATAGCAGTTCCACAGTTCTACGTTGAACTCGTGAAGTATAGGTATGATGAAGAATATATGGTTCAAATCGAACATAATTTTGAGTAGAGTTAAATATTGAATGAAAGACGCTCTCAATGAAAATCGACATAGTCGAAAAGAATAATGATAGTCGACTTCTAATCGAATTTCATGCAATTGAGTTGATCTGATACCAAGTCATTGCAGGCAAAATAGAAAATGTTTCATGGAAGTTGAGAAAGCGTGAGAAGCAAATAATCTTAATACTCGTCATCGTATCATATTGGTCAGAGAATTGAAACGAGACAATGCAGGTTGAGATCATCGATAGCCGGGAACAGACGATATCGAGTTGGTTCTTTGTCTGAGCTACACAACTAAGTCAATCGATAGCGAGTATACATCATATGAGGTAAACTTGTCCTCGTGAGAGAAAGAGTGATGTATTAAAAAAAAAAGAAATGTTTTCAATCCGATTTGATCTCATGATTAAATCGTAACACATTCACGTAAGGTGCAGACGAACTTTGTTCTTGTTCGACAAGTCAAGTGGAACATAATATCTGTGATTGAGGCATTACTTCATTGAAAGTATAAGACATGCATTCACTTAAAATAAATTTTCATTAATTGATCGAAGAAGTCTCGACTTGTTAGTTTATAACTTTGTCATATGTCGATTAAACAATACAATTTGAGAAAGAACTTCTACAGTAAGATTAGACAATTTATTCAAACAACATTAACAAAATTTATATCAAATAAAGTCATTCTAACAATTAGCAGTACAAATATCAAAGAAAGAACAGAGTAATATTAGGATTTTTGTACACATAAACGAAGAAAAATAATATATAGACTAAAGCCATAAATGAACTTTCCTTTCGCTGTCTTGAAAATAGTCAAAGTGACACAATTTTGTCTTCTGTTCAAGCCATTGACGCGTAACCATTCGAGGATTTAAATCATCAATATCACCATAATGACGAATGGATACATTCGACAAGCTCATCGTCACATTATTGAATAATTTTGATAGGTTGCGAACGCCTCGACGATCAAAGTCTAACCGTTCCAGGTAACTAAATGAACGCCAAAGTGCATCAATTTCATTTGATGACAGTCGTTTACATGGACCACCTGAATCACTCTTCATGTTGAGATCAATGATTTGTGGCCAATGTCGATCAAAAAGTAAGATGAGAGTTGAAATGTGCAAACAGAGTGAGCACAGATGTGGAAGACTATGAAGAATTCGTACAAATTCGGTGCTTGATTGTGCTATTTCCGATTCGCCTTGTATGAAACTAGTAATTCGTGACAAATTGCTATAACGGACGATGTATTCGAGTGAAATGTTAAGATCTTTTTCGATGATTAACGTATTAGCATGAGTAAATCGACGTAAATGTGTTTCTGACATTGGTAATTCAGTGTTAAAAAAGAGATATTTTGTATGTGGAAATGTCGTCGGTTCTAATCCAGTTGATTCTGTCACCAATGTTTTCTTCATATACGGTAATGGATAAAAATAGTCTTTCAAGCATGGATTTGTATAGAGAAACGAAGAGGAAGTATTAGTCCATTGATCAAATGTCACATACCATTTTTTTTCTTCCAACCAGAATCGAGTGCGAAATGAATCAAGATCGACATCGTTTTTATTTGAAATGCTAAATGCAAACTGAAATATGATAATTCTAGTTAACAATGGTATCCATGCATGCCCATTAATCATATCACTTTCCACATCGTCGATATTGAGAGTAAGATGAGTAAGACGAGTCATTGGCGAAAGTAAACATTTAATTTCGAGCATAGTCATACGAATGGTAGTGATCGATAAGTGTTCTAAATTGATAGGCGGCTGAAAAATCATGCCGACGTCAGAAAATTGACTAACACTCAATTCGACGTTAAGTTGACGTAACATTGGTGCAATAGCAAAAATTTGATGTAAATTAATTTGAATACCTTTTACTATTAGACATTCAATGGCTGTTGTTTGCATTAAAGAAGATGATGAAATGGTCATTGCTTCCTTCCAACCAGACTGTGTTCTGAAAGACACATATTTCAGTGATGTTACAGTAACTAGAAGATCGTGAAAAATGAGCGACATTAACGTTGACGTTGATCCATTTGAATCATCAACAGATGCGATGGACATTGATTTTAACACCACAAACAATGGTAGTCGAGTTCGGATCGAATTCCAAATATTCGAATCGATCTTATTGAGAGTAATCGAATGTAAATTTGAAAAAATATCGTCCATAGTAATAGAGCAGAAAAAACGAACGATTTTGATATCTGCTAGTTTATCATCGTCATTGTCTAAGATTAATGAAAAGACACGAGGTGCCAGTTTGGGCAAGTTATGACAGATAAATTCAAATTGCTTTTTCTTTTTAGCTATGTTATTGAAATCGAATCGAAAACGAGAATAGGTGAGAGAGATAGAATGAAGACGTCTATTGACAAGCCATACTGACGAGAGAATATCATCGATGGAAAGATGGTCGAAAATATGTTCGATCATTTCAATGGGTAAAACACTTAGATAGTCTGACATTTTGTGAGTATTCATTTGATAAATTTCGCTATTTTTATATTTGAAACAAACAATAGCCGACGAACTCACTAATTGAATCAGTACGATATATCGCATAAAGTGCATACAATTCTAATCATTCTTTTTCTAGAGGTCGTATCTCTCAGACAAATTAGGCTGTTTCTTATTGCCTATAACATATTTCTTCAAAGCAAAAAAAAACGAATTTTCTCAGACAATACGATCAATAGAAATGTTCAGATGTATCTTACTTTGCTAGAAATTGAGAACGCTTGCAGATTTAAGTTGAGCATAAAATTTGCCTCAAACAGACAATAACAGAATTTTTAACGGATATCATCGGTGATTTTATCGAACATATACCAAACAGAAAGGCAGCATTGGATCAGAAAAATCCATATCCTTGATAACTAAGAGTGCTTTACAAACACATACTTGTAATGCAGTATAGAAAAAAGAACGAACAGATTCATTCAATATAACTCGTTTTCGCCACGAAATTTGCGAGAACAATTTACTTGACAATAACTTAAACAGTAATGATGAAAAAATTCATAATAAAATCTATTATGTTCCACAATCTTTGTGCAGCAAATCAGCTACATTGAAATATCTCTTCCTATAAACAATCATTTATACAATGTTAGCTTTTAATAAAGTTCTTTAGTCTATTATCCATTTTACTTAACCATGATGTGTGATGTTGTTTTTTCATTATATTTATTAATGTTGAAGCGTATGTTTTTTCTCTATAGATGAACATATTCTTCAATCTTAATTTAACACATTCGAGTATGATTTTAATTATTTGATCAATATCGAAGTGTGGATAGTCGATTATATTAATCAAATGAAGAAAATAATCTGTTTGAAAATTGATCTAAACGGAAAAATTCAGAACTATTTTTTCATTCATTTGTCGAGATTTCATATGTCAGATTGCATTTTGTCTTTCATTGGAGATAAAGTAATTTTTCCGAGAATAACAGCACGAACATACAATTCTTGAATTTTATTCTATCGAAATATGGTACATTGCTCGTAGAAAAATGTCCAGTTAGCACAATAACATAATCAAATGTCATCAATTAGGTATTATCTATCCGAAAATCTCTGACTAGAGCAATAAATATCTTCTTTTCGTCAGAATAAGAAATACATCTAATGACTGTGTTAAATTCAATATACTGACGAACATTGTTCTGATTCGCATATCTTCGAATATACTCAATAATAACCGTTCGATTCGGAAATGAGAGTGATTGATTGATCAAAAACGTTTATGGAATATTCATTGAATCCTGTTTCTCAAGATCATTTTATTTTTCAAAACATACGATTTCAGGTATTTGGGAACCACATTGTCGAGCTGATTTAAATGCATGTAACTGATTAAGATCAGAAGAAATCGCTCTGTAAATCGTAATTGGAGTTGATGAATGGGATAAAAATAATATCTAAAGTGCACAGTTTCAGAAAAAGAAGAAAGAACTTTGAATGTGAAACTAAGAAAACAATGTTTCTAGACATACGAGTAAAATGAGAATGATGATAATAAAAAAATCAAAGTAGTACTCTAAATTTGATTCCAGGATGGATCACTACATCTTAAACATCTTTTAAAAAATGTTCTAACTCTAACATCATTTCTAAAGTGGACACTGCGATCTTTTTAAAGGTCGCACAAAGAATAATATGAGTGAGACATTTAGAAACAAACTTTTCACTTTTCGTTAACTCTCACAGTATAATAGGCGTAATTTATATATGAAACCTTCGCTTGAAAAACTTTAATAGATGGACTCAGTTGAAATTTACAAATTAGAACCTATTTTATATAAAAATATAGAATATTGAATGATTACAGAATAGATTCAATCAATATTTCATTTGTTATTTTTTTTGTGCACAAAATGAGTGCCCGTTATTCAAATATGACATTAAAACTTGCACAATACCTTGAAAATTGAATTTGATTTATATTCTTTTTATTTTATAAAGGCACGAATGTTTTTTTTTCTTCTCGCTGATTGCAGCAGTAGTTGGTCTTCATATTTCAGGCATATAGATCGTTTGTCTGTTTAAATCATCGAATAATTCTCTTCAGTTAAAAACATGGAAATATTTGTTTAGAATGAAATTTTTTATCGTATATTTTTGTCAGAAGATATTTGAAGAAAGAAAAAAGTTTTGTTTCAATTCAATATTTTTTCTACATTTGATTATTAGCTAGAACTGACTAAAATTTTTAATGATGATGACTATGTTGAATAGACAAACAACCAATTGTGGGTATGGTTGTTGATCTATTACTTAGTTATACCCATACCCACCACCCACACTCTACCATGCTGACTTCCTCATAAGTTTTACTATATTCTGTATTTGACTGGAAAATGATACAGTTAGAATTGATTTCATCTTGATAATTGAAGTGAGACAATAAAATTTATTTGAGTATATATGAAAAGATGTGCATGTAAATAAATATAGATACGTTATAAACTGAACAATAGCTGTTTAAAAATAGATCACTTATTCTTGAGTTTACGAGAGATAATCAGAAGTAAACTAAATTTTAACAATGTTACTCAAAATAATTTGAGTCAGCCCTTCTAAAACAGTTCAGATATTTCCAATGTTACTCCACATCCATGACTAACAATAAATCGTGAACCATTATCATAAGGCATTCTATTACGTTCGAGTTCGATTGGTTTTTGTGGATATGATGTTGAATGTGGTATTACATTTTTTGGTTGTACCAGTATATAGACTGAAGTCGGTGCGCGTTGAACACCAACAGAAATATGTTTAATGAGTATGTTTTGATCATCATGTAATGCTCTGCTGTATACATTGATTTAAATAACAATGAAAACAAGAGATGAAACCAGTATTACAACTGAGGCAGCTAATTGTACATTGGCTAAACTCACGAGGGAACACCACGAACTGATCAATCGCTTTTTAAATATATACATACTGTTTCTTAAAAATAGTACACAAGTAATATTTATCAACAAAATGGATCCAGTAACTATAGCTTATCATTTTTTTAAAAAGTCCAACAAAAATACAATTTGAAAGAAGAAAATTTATTAACGGATGCTGAAGACGAAAAAGTCAACCAACTAATTAGCTTTTTTTCAAGAAATTATTTCAAGTCCTAATTTAATAATTGAAACTGAATACACGCTGAATTTAAGCGGAGATGAAAATACATCGGAAGGTGAAAACAAAAATATATCCGAAGATGAAGATGGTAAGGGCGTGGGTGTGGATGTGTGTCGATGCATGAGTGGAACACCCGCACCCACGCCCACCCAAGATACAGAATTGAACGTGCTACATTTAATATAGAAAGTTTTTCTTAATTATTAATTTTAAATAATTAGTTAATTAACAGAATTTTCTTCATGGTTTTTTATTTTCAAGTATACCATTAGCAAGAGCATTGAAAACTGAAAAAAACTGTGTAGTTTTTGTTTCGCAATAACTAACTACCATGAAATTTTTTGAAACACTTTTTATAAATCCAGTAATAGTCTATTAATAGTTAACCAAATTAAGATTCAAACAAGAACTTCAGAACTTTGAAAAATAGTTCATTTTGTAGAACAGAATTTTTTCTATCGAATAATACCTTGCAATCTTCTGTACAATGTATATTTCATCAAATATATGACTTTAAAATATTAAACACGATTCGATCCAATAGGTAAACGGTGCAGTCCATCAATTTGTCATACTTCCGCCAATGTGTTAACAACTTTCTGATCTCACCATTGAGAAATCCTTAGTTCATTGTCTATCTCCTGTAAAAATCAGCTTTTTAAACCTGTATTCTGAATTCCGACAAAATTTTCTTGTCAAAATTACCCATTTTCTCGTGTTAAAAAGATGTTCATTTCTACTTATCTCTTGCCTCATCTCATTTCTATTGTTACATGAATTCTTTTTCAACATATACCATTCGATAGAAAAAAGAACGATCTACACGTATGTGCATTTTTTATCGAAAAAACATCTTGAAAAAAGGTCTGAATTTCGACAAATACTCATGTGCTGGTGCAGATCTTCAATAAGTCTTGTTTTTTTCCACTATAATGAGATCAAAATAAGCTTTCAAATATATCATCGGAAAGAGCTTTTAAAACTGCACAAGAAAGACTATTTGAATGATGTTTAAAAGAATGTGTCACATTGAAGATGATTTGACCATACTGATACCCACGAGTGAGTTGCGCCGTGGTGAATGTGTTAAAGATATTTAACTACCGAATAAGTAGAAAGTGTCTTAAACTTTTGTGCTCCACTTTAGATTTATATATGAAAATTCTCTCTTAATCAATCGTTTTCTGTCTGTTATGTACTTGTATACATTTCGAAGATTCTTTCAAAAACGAAAACAATCAAATATTATTATATTTGCTTACTAATTAGATTTAGTTATTCGATAAATTATCATAAAAATGGAAATAACTATGCTCAAACCAGATATCTGTCGGACGATAAGAGTAAAAATAAAATAGAACCGATTAGTTGAATATGACAATTTTCTTTTACTAAAGATGGTTATTAATGAATAGATAAGTAATTAGAATGAAAAAAATAAAATAAAATAAAAGAGAAGAACAAAAAAAAAGAAAAGAAAAGGTTGATTACCAATTGTCGTCTAAGTGTTGTCATAAATCTGAAAAGTTTAAGTATGCGTAATAATTTAAATGCATGTAAAAGATATAAATAACTATTTTTATTTTCTTGTAATTCAATACGATTCATGATAACAATAGGACTATCAAATAAATTAGAAGCATTTTTAATATATTGGAGACATCCATCAGCAATCATTTTTAAAATAATTTCAATAGAAAAATAATTATGCAAATACTAAATTACTATATTCTAATGCGTTTGTTAATGATGTAGTTTGTTCATGATATTTAATATCCATTGATAGTGAAGCTAATACTATAATACGACGAAAATATTTTTCCTGCAACAAAATTTGATATAGATTTGTGAAATCTATTCCAATAGGATCATATAGACTTATCCATATATATAGATATTTTTGATTTTATTTTAATTTTATTATTATTATTATTATTATTATTATCTGCTTCTTCATGAATACTTAATTTTTCATTTTCAATATATTTACGATAACAATCACATGGATTTTCTTCAAGATATTTTTCTGTATTTTCAAAATCTAAATAATTTGATTTAATTGGTTGTTTATTAATCGATATATTATTTAATAAAATTAATGGAATAGAACTATTATCTTAATCACAATAAAATGATGATGAATGTTGAATAATATCCATGTTATCAAGATGAACATTTATTTATATGTATTCAATCCAATATATATGATTGTTTAGAACTAGCAGCTGGTGCATCACCTATTTGATTATATCGACAATTTGATTGATGAATTATATCTATATTTGATAATGAATATAAATTCGTTTTTGAATTTCAATTTAAATGAACTTCATTTGTTCTAGATTTATTATTTACAAGTTCTTTTTTACGAGATTTTTTTACCAATTAAACGTTTTTCTTTAACCTATTAACAAATATATACAAATTGTTATTTAATAGAATATTATTTTAAATAATATCATATATTTATATTTAATTAATCATATTGGTATCTAGATTGATTTATTTTTAAAAATCTAGAATATAATGATCGTTTCATTTCCTATGAAAAGTTTCAAATCTCTTTTTACTCTATGCAAATGTATTAATGTAATTATAGAATAATTACATTAATCATCATGATTGTTAACTATTAGACGGCTTGTCCACGTAGCACGACACTTTGCTGATCAAGTTTCGAAAAAAATATTTTTTTCGAATTGCATTGGTCTGAATGAGTACCTAGAAATGTTTCAAAAAATAAACGAGAAACATGCCATTCGTTGCAGAATTTCATTCTCTACAAGTTGGCCTATTTAGTTTTTGCTTTTGTGGCCAAGGAAAACTTGTAGACTCTTATACAGTTTCTAACTTATTGCGTCTCTTGTCAGCTTCATCCATGTCGATATATCGATCTCGTTCTTGCGTAGAACGATTAGTTATACAGAAAAGACGAACACTTATAATAAATGAAATCGTTCTAAGCATGTTAAATACCTCAACATTGGTTGACAAAAAATTATGTCACAGCGTTACGTTGGGACAAGCCATACAGAAAATCTTTCGATTCTCTCCTACTAAATATATATCTTTGAAAAAGTTGATTCAATCATCGATTAAATTGGACAAAAATTATTCTTTAATAAATTGTTTTTAATCTTAATAAAACTATCGAATGTTATTATTGATAAGACAATAAACAACATTCGTCTATTTATATTGAATAAAACAACTTTATTGTTAAGATAATTCTTTCAGATATTTTCAAAGATTTTTGTAAAAGAATCTTCTATTCCTTTCATTAAAATAGATTAACTAATTATATTTATCTTAAAATATTTCAATCAATCATTCTATATCAGTTAAATTCTATGAATAGAAACCAAAACAATTCCGATGTGAATAAATGATTCATTAATGTTGAAGTCATTTATTCGAACTAAAAAAGCACTTGAATAAATCTTAACGAATTCGTATTTCATAAGATATGAAAGAATATGTACAGCATGATTCAAGTGTATACTATTCGATTTGAAATAAAATAGTTAAATATTCAATTAGAACAGATGAGTCTTTTTTTAAAGATATTTTAGGTGAAAAAAAAACCATTAATTAAAATGAAGAGAACTCTATTTTAAAATAAAAAAATAATAATATTAAATGATCTAATCGAAAGAGAATTTGTATTCAAATCTATTTATCTATATAGTTTATCCTATTATATAGCTAATCGTTAATATACTGTTTAAAGAAGTGTGAGCATGGGTGTGAGACTAAAACTATTAATGACATTCTATCCCCCATACCCACATTCTTTATATGTAAAATGAAAATATTTGATTATATAAATAGATAGAAAATATCGAACGAAGAAAAAAGACAAAAACGCTTAGAACACAGAATAAAAAATGAACAATTGCACAAAGTACATCTACTCAACCGATAATATAAATAAAATAAATTATTTTTGATTAAGCTAATATATTGTTCGAATACTTATTTTCTTGCTAAGTTCTAAAGTCTTCCTCACAAAAATAAATATTTTAAGTCCATATTGTAAGTGGAGCTATGCCTAAAAGGAAAAAGAAATGAAGTAACAAATAATTCATATGATGAAATATGAATGCATTAGCCATTGATTAGAAGAAAAACATTCTTTTCTCTGTCTCTCTCTCAATATAAAAAGAAAGTATGATATTCATGCTATGATAGTTGTGCAAACTTATCATCGATCAGGAAACGGAAAATTCTTACTTTCAAGATTTATCATGCTAGGTAAATAATTTTCTTCATCCAAAAAAAAATAAATTAGATATTCGTTAACAAATCCTTGAATATCTTCCAATGTTTGTTCAGTCTCAAAAAACAAAATAAAAACATTTTTCAAAATATATACATCCGCAAATATACTTTCATTGTAGCAAAAACTTCATTATAAATCAACGTAGTTTGTTTTGCTATATCTTGAAAATAAGAATAAAATTTATCTGATACTCGATCAGTTACTTCAGTATTATTTGGATTGTTGAAATGTATACCAAACAGTATTCTAAAAAATCAAATAGTTTTATATGAAAATCATTGTAATTTTAGATATTAAACATACTCAAAGATCTTTTTACGCCAGCTAGAACAAAATTTTCCTACAAGAAGTGACTCTTCATTAAATCGATAATCTTCTTCTTTCAGATCATTTATATTTGCACTACCACATGTACTCATACGATCATCAATTTTGAATGAACATATATTATTTCGGCTACCTAAAGTGAGACAACAACTTTCTGAATTGTATCAATGATAAAATATTTTACTTACTAAACTACCCATTAGTATATCATGATTACATATACCACAAAAATAAAAATAATCTTTTGGTGGAATTCCTAAATATCAAAAACAAAGTTGCCTGACATAGATATATATATGTATATTTGATTTATAGATTCATTTTCAATGTACTCGAAATCGATTCAAACAATATCTATTGCGACTGAAAATCTGATTGCATTCGAAAAAACTATTTCATTATGCATTAATTTATATTTTTCTGACTAGAAACAAGAAAATAAAATTGTATTTCAACTAAGTTAAGTATATAGAAATATGCTGGACATAGTTTTAAATAAAAGCATATAAAGAAGATCGTACATTGATGAGTTTCTTCATTAAATAAATGAGGTTTACTGTCGACGATATATTTAAAAAACAACGGATCTTTGTTGTTAAAATATTCATGTGCCTGGTATTCGTCTTATCAAAATGAGATAAAAGGGGAAGAACAATAAAAACACGAATTTTTTTTTGCATTTCTAATCAATAAAACAAACTGTTTAAAGTGTTATATAATAAAAAAAAAAGACTTCATATTTATGTGTTCGTTCTATACGTCGAAAAAGAACATCAGCTAATTGGTTTTGACAACTGAATCTTGAGCAATAGTAATAAATAACTGATTCTAAATACGAAATACCAATCAAAAATTGTTTTTGTTTTTATATTACTCTACTTCAATGTATATAAAATGTTTAGCAACATCAATCATTTGCATATAAGCATTATGAATCGATGATTCCTCTGATTTCGTTCCCGCTGACCATGGTCCAACTGAGCGAACATACTAAATGCAAAAATCCAAGTGAAAATAGTTTTTAAAATGGATATTAATCTAAAATAATAACTTCTTTAGGCACTTATGCACGAAATAGCTCACTTTTAAGAAAATCACTCCCGTGTTCAATAGCTAAGTCTTCAACATCATCATAAGATTTAGATAACAAAAATGAATAAAAATCATTTTTCAGATATATTTCACACTTAAGAAAAAATAATTCACAATTAAAATTTGAAAAGCGATTGATTACTGTCTGAATTGCTTATGAGGTCAAATAGTTGTCAAAAGATAACAAGAGTACGAGTGGGTGTTTACGTCAGTTTTTTATGCTCATTTCATTTGTAGCCTAATCGACATTCCATCCTAAACCACCATCAGTACACTCAAGAAAATTTAGAGATTATACTCAAATGTGTTCCGAGGTCGTCAAGCACTTGGTTGAAGGATTAAATGAAATTTTCAAGTTGCTAAATGTATTACTGTCAGTGTCACCATATGGATTTGGATTGAGAACAATAGAATTTGAATATGAATCAAACAAAATATAACCGTCTTCCGTATACCCATATCCATATTTGAAAAAAATGTTGCAACTTTTTTTCAACCAGGCTATAAATTTAACTAATAATATTTGATTCGATAGTCTTCGGTTATGAATACATGTGACGAAATGCAGCTAAACTGTTTTTATTAGCCAATTTTATGAATATTTCATCGTTGAATAAAATGTCGTGCAACATCTCGAGTAGTTTAACCAAATACAACTAATGCTTCATCATGCCATAACATAAGTGGTACTAATGTTTGTATAACACTATTTACAGCATAATTTACATTAGTAGAATTCACATAAATGAATAAAATACATGAAAAAAAATCAAGACCTTTCGTGAAATCTTTTTGATATACTTTTGAATAATTTTTTTCAATAAAATATCGATGTTTTCTATCAGTTGCAGATGTTGACGTATAGTATCTGATTGTTATTCTTTAAGAGTTTTTTCATTGTTAGAGTTTTCATCATCTTTTCCCACTGTCTAAATAAAACAAAGACTTAGATTTTTTTTTTTAAAGTCTTTGTATAATATGTTGAACTAATTTTCGACTAGTTTAAAAAGTCGCATAGAATTGAAAGTAAAAAATACTATTTACATTGAGCAACATAGACTTTTTTTCTTCTGCTATTCATAACTTTTCTCGATTAGATAGTTCGACAGTTTTGACCTTCTTCACCCCAGACGATAATTGAAAAACCCATTATTTGAAATAGAATAAATTTCGATCATTCATGGAATATGTATAAGAAAGAAAAGTCAATCAGATATTTTGGATTAGAAGACACACTCCATATAAATGAAAACATAAGAAAACAAAACTAAACCTATATGAAGACTTTTTGTTATAGACATTCGTTTTTGCCTCTAGTAGATGTTTGCTATAAATCAGAAAAATTAAAATTAAAATAAATACAATAGAAAAGAGTACGAAGTCTGATATTTACAACTAGTATGCTTTTTTATTCAGTATCTTATTTTTGGAAAAATCTTTGATGATTCTTATCATTTTCTAGTAAGAGGATGTCAAACTACGTTGACTAAGGGTGTGGGTGTGGGGTGTGGGGTGTGGGTGTGGGTGAGTGTGAGTGAATTCAACAAGTGTACCCACATCTACCACCACACCCACACCCACACCCACACCCACACCCACACCCACACCCACACCCATCCACATGGCGATACTAACTATTGGAAAAGATTCAGTTTCAT